ATTTTTTCACTTCGACGACAAGGAACTCATAATCTCTCTAATCCATCCATCCATCCATCCATACGCGTCACTAATTAGATGACGCATTCGGCCATTTTTTGAAAATCTTTATTTAGGAAAAAATAGAAGGTGCAGTATAAAGAAGTGATCCGATTCTACCCGCGTCGTCCGTCTACCCGCCAACCGAGAACAGTGGTAACCTAGTCGATCCCCCCTTTATATTCATTATGTGTTAGCTGCGAACAAAAAATCGCGAAAAACAAGAAGATGGTGGCAAACACATTTATATGCACAAAGAGTGTAGAAAATTTCAATTTAGTAAATGAATTGAAGTTTCAAGCTGTGAGTGGACATTATAAAAATTTTACGAGGATGACACCTTCCGACTTTGAATAGTTACGTCCATTGATCTTATTCTTTTATTAGTTATTGCTTTTAGAAATAATCTGAATTCTACGTCTGTATTTATTGATTCACCTTTTATATATTTTTCAAAAAATTATAGAACAAGCTGTCCACAGTTATAAAAATCTGCCTAAGTAATATGTTTCTCCTGAATTAATTGAAGATCCCTTACATTTATAGTTGTTTTATTTAAATTATTATAAATGAACTTTCGAAATTTATCCAAGTATAATTTGTGCACATTCCCTACCCATAGGGTCAATGAAAGTAAATGCCTTCCTATTAAAATCAATTAAAATAATACAAAAATGATGATTATTTTCAATTAATTACCGGCATGGCTATCCTATGCGAGTGGATGCGTTATTCTTTTTAAGTGATCTGTATGTTCTTCGTTTGAAAATATAGGTATTTGTAGACAAAATTTCTGCTATAATTTGGAAGTCATTATTATCATTCGATAAATGCATTGCGATTGAAACAATTATTCCAGTTAACCATGTTTCCTTAATTTTTGTGATAGTTTTATGAAATCGGAAATTAATACGTCTCTAATATGAAATTGTGGAATATCAAAAATTGCCATAGTCAATAGTGTAGTCTCTAGACTCAGTTTTGATATAATAATTAACATCATTCACATGGCCATTTTCCAAACGGGTTATTTCTTTTATGCTGGCCCACTTTCGGTCTTCTAAGGCAATGTTTAGGGATTCTGGTTGAAGAACATAAGGCATGGAATATAAGAAATAAAATGCTTTCAATCTTGTAAACATCTCTGTCCAAAACTTCCTGTTCCGAAATATTCGCTCGATTTTGATGTCATGACTAATAAAAAATAATGTTTGTCATTTCTAAGAGGCCCTGAATTTGAAAGTAATATTGGAGTGTTTTTTTCAAATTGCCGTTCTTTCCCAAGTAATCCTGGGAAAGAACTTACAGCGTCCTTGTCAACAAGCCCGTCATAGAACCAGCTAGAAATAGAATTTTCCTATGCATATGGAGGCCTGCTTTTTCGACGATGTTTTTTGACGACTCAGAATATTTGTTAATTGCCGTCTGCCCGTTACGGGAACCATATCGAGCAGAAGGAATGTGATCGATTGTTTTCGGTTGCACAATACTTTTGACCAAATTTAGTCTGGTTGTTTCGCTTTACAAATTTTCCCGAAAATTGATGCCGTTATTCTTTGTCGTCGCTCTCCATATCAAACTACTGAATCTTTTCAAGTTCTAAATCACTCTTTGGTTTAATTCTAGGTTTTTAAATGAGCTTTGTAAAGGATGTTATCGTTATTTTCAAACAAATTAATGAATAAATACAAATGAATTAATAAATAGAAATAAATAAATACAAATAAATAAATACTTGATATTTTTTAAAAAATAAAAATCTCTTCCACGTCGTCATCTTTCGGCAGCATGCCAAGAATGCTTGCGGCATTACCGCGTTGGATGGCCAAGCTAATCCTTTGAGTCACGAAGCATTTAGCCTTTTTATTATTTATTTTTTTACAAATTTTGATAATTAATATTTTCGTTTCTTCACCCCAAGGACCAAAAGTCTCAACACTAAAAGGTAAAAGTTCGCCGGGTCCGCTAGTAGTTTGAATAAATGAAAAAAATGCGACGATTTGGTATAATTCTTCACATCAAAAAGTAAGAAAAAAAAACGAGAAAAAAAATCAAATAATTAAAATTAGTTAATGAGATGCTCAAACAGCCGTATTCATGAACATTAATTAACTGGTTAATGGTTTGTTATAGTTATTTACCTAACAAATGCGGAAAGTGATACTTTACCGCACGCAACGGCAGTTGACCGAACGACGCGGAGCGGAGTTCGGTCAAGCCGTTAAGGGCGGTGAAGGCACTTTCCGCATGTGTTAGGTGCAAAATTTTACCTATGAGCATCTACATCTCTAAAAAAGGGCATTGATGAAATTAAATATTGAATCAGATTAATTAATGAAATTAGATTAAATATAGAAATGATCAAAAATCCATTTTCTGAAAAAGAGAGGATTTCTGATTAAAAATATAAAATTTTACTTTACCGCACACTATGCGGTAAAGTGCACTTTACCGCACACTTTGTAGTCCACTTTACCGCACACTATGCGGTAAAGTGCACTTTACTGCATAGTGTGCGGTAAAGTGATACTTTCCATCTGCAAATACGTGCGGTAAAGTGCACTTTACCGCACGCTCGTAGGTAAAATATCTAACAGCTGGTTAACATGCATATTTGGTATTCATGACACTCTGTTAGGACTTAACATTTTGTTAAAGTTAACCGCCGGAGATCGCCTAGTTAAAGCGGCTTAACTGACAATCAACGGAAATTTTCAATATTTGTGAGGTTAGTTTTTTCTGTTTATTTACGATTTTTCTAAACAAACGTATTCTATTTTCTATTCAAATTACAACATTTAAAATTGAAGTTGTTGGTGATTATTTTTTGAAAGAGAAAGATGGATAGGTTTCACCGTGTCCAAGATACCTCGTCGTCTTCTGATTCCTCGTCTGATGATGAAGTTCCAAATGCAAGAAGGCCAAAAATGGTGAGACCACGAAATGATCTATTCAATGAACTGGACGAAATTGAATTCAAGCGAAGATTCCGTATCAACAAAGATACGTTTTTATATATAGAGAATTTATTAGAAGATGTTCCAGAACCATACATTGAGAATTATCCCATTTCTAAACGGAATCAAATATTAATTTGCCTCAGATACTATGCAACTGGATCGTTTCAAATTAATATTGGGGATCATTTCAATGTTTCACAACCCAGTGTGTCGAGAATTGTACAAAATATTACAAATCACATTGCTGCTTTGAGAGCTCGATTCATCAGAATGCCACGAACAGAGGAAGAGAAGAGGCAAGCAGTTATGAAGATTTTTAATATTCGTGGTCTTCCTGGAATAATAGGTAGGTATCTCTTTTTTTTTTATTATCTTGGATATTACCATTTATGTCCTTTTTGTAGGAGCTTTAGATTGTACACACATCAAGATCCAATCCCCAGGAGGAGAAAATGCTGAAGTGTTCAGAAACCGCAAACAATGGTTTAGTATAAACACGCAAGTAGTGGGCAATAGTGATCTTTTGATAAATGACATTGTGGCTAGATGGCCTGGTAGTGTGCATGACTCAACAATATTTAATGACTCGATCATTCAGCAAGGTTTGAAAATCAAGAATTTTTCCCATATTGTTTACTTGGGGATAGTGGATATGCATGCAAAACTTACTTAACACCATTAATAAATCCTCATAATCCGGCAGAACAACGCTACAATAGGGCTCAAATATCCACCAGAAATACTGTAGAACGTCTATTTGGTGTTTGGAAGCGACGATTTCCCTGTTTGTAATTGGGAATGCGATTAAAACTTCAAACTGTCTGTAATATAATAGTAGCCACTGCAGTGTTACACAACATTTGTATTCAAGAAGGTGATAACTTAGAGCAACTTGATGATATCCCTTATCTAGATGATATAATTGGAGTTGTTCATTATAATGGTGGCGGCCAAAACTTTGCAACAAGGGATACTTTGATACAAACTGTTTTCAATTGATTTGCTTAAATGATGAGATACCTATAGGCTGTCAGCGAGGGGCGGCTCACTCACCACAATCTGTACATCGATTTCGGAAATCGCAGGGGATTTCGACAATTTTTAAGGGATTTCGAAAGATTTCGGCTGTGCAAGAATTTTGACTTTCGATGCCATATACCACTAAGATTTCGAGGGATTCGATAAATCTATAGGACTGGATAGGATTTCGCGATTTCGAAAATTCGGGATTTCCAAAGGATTTCACGGGATTTCGGATGAAAATGTACAGCGATTCCGGAAGTGAGCCGCCCCTCGGCTGTCAGCACTAATGAATATTTTGTTATTGGAAAAATTAAAAACTGGCAAATATGAAAGAACAAAAGTAATTTTTTTTCTCATTAACTGAATAGGTAAAATTAGAAAGGTTCTATAATTTTATAATTCTTAGTTTCAAATAGAATAATGTTTTCTGTAATAATAAGTATATGAATCAATTAGATTGCTTCGAGCATTTTTTGAAATATTTCCGAAAATTGAAGAAATTTGTTATTAGCTTAAATATTTTACTGTATTAACTGCAGCAAAAAATAAAATGCATTTTGGACAATAAACATATTTTTATTTATATCCAATATTAAATTAAATGAGGATAACTACATAAATAAATAGGAACATAAAAAAGCTATGTATAATCCAAAAAACGAAAAAACTGAAAGAACCCTAAATATGTAGCATGGTAATGTTTGACCTAAAATACCCGAACAGGAAAAAAAACACACGGTGATCCACAAAATTGGCCGAAAAAACAACAATTTTTGTTTTTGAGGAACCTGTGTTATTTTTATAATCAAAGAAAATAATACCTCAGCTTTCTCAATGCTCTAATATAAGTGGAATTCAAAAACTTAAAACATAATATCCTATACATATTGCAAATAAATTAGTACAATCCGTAACAAGAACTAAGTACTCGGGCCTTTGACTTGGCACTCAGATAATGAAATAAACTGTTAGTTCGAATTATTGTTCTTTTAAAAGTCTGTCATATTGTATTTTTTTTATTTCAAGATCCAAGAGCTCTTTTTCCTTAATTATTTGTTTTATTTCATTATCCATTTTTATACCTTTAAACGTTTCTTCTTCATTTTTTTGCACTAAATGCAAAACTTTTATTTTATTTTTATATACTTCAAATTTTTTGGCCGAAACACCTGAAGGCTTCGAGATGGTTTCTCCATAACAATTAGGTTTTTTATTAGTACTTTTCACGTTCTTATTATTTTTTTTATTGACATTATCAGTTTTCACATTTTCTGGTTCCTGATTTTCTTTAAATTTCTTCACTGGCTGAAACTGTAATAAGCTCTGTGATTGTTCTTCCTCAAAAACAGTTTTCACATTTTCTGGTTTCTGATTTTCTTTAAATTTCTTTACTGGCTGAAACTGTAACAAGCTCTGTGATTGTTCTTCCTCAAAAACAATTTCTATAGTTTCATCTGAAGCGATCATCACCATCATTATCCGTCAATTGACCTACATTTACTTTTAGGGACAATGGTCTCTTTAGGGATTCATCACAAGATTGGAAATTCCTAGATGTTGAAGGTATTGCAAAAAATGTGTTTTCAGTTTCTGAGTTATTTTCCATAGCAACGTTGGAATCCAGGACATTGTCCACACAGAAATATTTTTCTTGTAGAAGACTTAAAATCTTCACATCCTGTGGAGAAAGCATATTGTACTTTGTATTGTCCCCTCCACCAGTTTTTAGAATTTCTACCTGCAACAAGGGAATACTTGAATAAAAAACTACCTACACTGATTAATATTTGAACCAAAAATAGATTTATAGTTACATTATACTAACACGAGTACTAACAGTAAGAATAGAAATGACACAATATTTTTCTGAAATCATAAAGGGCCGCTTTATTCTCAATAGCGAGGCACCTCCGGGTTGGTTTTAACTCCAGGGTAAGCGTGTCCAGTTGCTATGTTTACCCTGGAGTTATGCTTAACCCAGGGGTGACTTGCTATAGAGAAACCGACCCAAAGAAATACTAACTAGAAATGGACCTAATTTTACCTTACCTTACTGTCAGCTTTATGCTGTTTTGCTAACTTTTTCATCTGCTCGTACAGTATACGTAATTGAGATCCTGTTCGTTGTCCACTTGTTTGTAGGGCATTATACTCCCATGCCAGTTTCTCCCAGCATTCATGTTTTTGTTTATTATATATTGCATTAGTTTTTTTTACATTCTAATACATTAATATATTTTTGTACCAGCGATATCGATATATCTTTTTCGCGCTGTGTAAAATTTGAAGATCGTTTCTTCTCTTCCGTCATAGCTTTCATTCACTATTTTATTGCACAAAACTAATATACCTAATTTTAATTTTATAATATTGTGGGTGCCACAATGCCACAATATTATTAGCAAAAACAAACTAAATAAAGAAAGTGAAATGAAAGTTAGGTTATGTTGTTCCAAAAATCATCTGCTGAAGTTAGGCAAAAATTGGTATTGCCAACCTTAATTTTGTTACTTTTCATTAAATAGACGGTTTGTTAACTGCTTGGTTAAAAACCTTGATGAATATCAATCACTACTAACTCTTTGTTAAAACTTAACAACCAATTAGTTAACTGGGCAGTTTGTGATTTTTCAATGAATACGGCCGAAAGTGTCTACCGTTTTCTTGGAAACATAGTCTTTCACGTGTCAAGAAAGAACGACTAACAGTCACTAAATATTTTTTATTAATTTTTTCAAATGGCCTTCCTATTTTATTCTTCATATCCTCGCATGTTGTAGGCGCAGTTTGGTACAATTTTTCTTTTACATAACCCCACAAGAAATAGTCCATTTTGATTAAATCTGGAGACCTAGGTGACCAAGCAGTTTGAGCACCTCTACCAATCCACCTATACAGGTTAAATTAACATAAATTCTGAGTTTCTTAATAGCTAGAAAAATGGTAACTCCTTGAGGAACTATAAGTAGGTATTGTATGGACTTGATTCAAATCTAATTTTGGTTTGATTTAATTGCCTCTGCCAAATTATTTATAGCATCTATTTCCTTTTTTTTTCAATTCTTTCTTATTTGCCAACTCTCTAATTTCTCTTTCATTATTTAAAAAAAGAAACTGTTGGAGGGAAAGCTCGTTTTCCTTTTGTTCCGTTCACGATTTTGGGCCGTTTTTTAATCGTTTTGGAGTCCTTTCAACTTCTGAGACCCCTTCATTATCCTTATTTGGGAATGATGTTGTTGACCCAAGTAAATTTTCTGGTGGGGCAGAAGATGCCATCCATGTGTCCCATAACACAATCAAAAATATCATAGTATTCCCATGTTATTTTTGTTTCTCCTGTAGTTTTTAGTCTTTTTTTCTTTGTTGCTTCTATATGTCTTAAGCAAATTCCGGTATTTGGTATAACAAATTGGTCCAGATATTTTGTAGTTTCCTATAATTTTCATTTTGTCCGATATTTGCCTCTACAGTTTTGTTTTTTTGCATGTAGGTCTGTTGAAGACCGTTTCCATCCCCAAACGCAAGTCGAGAAGAAGCAAAACTGCTGTATATGTCCACTTACTTCCATTTCCTCGGTTTGTACTACTTGTACATGCTTCGGAGAAATCCCCATTTCGATAATCTTCGATGTTTGAATCTATATTTTCCTTATCCTGAGCCTTTTCTTCTAAAATTGTCTTCAAAAGATCTCAATATTTTTTAGGATCCAAAAAATAAATAACATTTAATTCGAGTCAGAAAAATTATCAGTGTTACTATTTTTTTAATAAAATAAAACTTGGGCTAAAACTACCTGAGGATATTTCTTCAACTTGGGAAGCTGACAGTAATGTTCCCAAATTTTCATTCTCGTATTCCAAAGTTACCAAAATGACGTCTGACATGCTTAGAGCAGCTCGCAAAATTAGAAAAAATAAATAATTGCCTTCTACCTTCTAGGGAGCAAATTATTATTTATAATTAAAGAAAACAGAACCAAACCGAAAGAAAACAAAAAATAATAACAAGACCATGTCAATTATCCCTACTACCATTTTTTCATACGTCAAGTCAACGCCAATCAATGAAGGAAAGAGAAAAAATAGTGAATTTTTTTATAGTAGTTTACAAGAAATAAATTTGTGTTTATTAATTTTATTTTTATCACGCTCACGCTCAATATTTTGAATGTTTTAATACCATTTAATCAAATAAATAAAAAATGAAATTACCTGCATTTATAAACAAAAGCTTGGTTGGAGCCCCAAAACAATTCTAAAAGGTTAAGGCAAGGAGTGCTGCGTTGCCAAATTGACGTCAAAGTATTTTATTTTGTTTGGATTAGATTTTCCTAACAGGTGCAGAGTAGTGCAGACAATGTTTATTGTTTAACGAGTGACGAAAACAGCAGTTTTTAAAATATGTAGGTAATTGAGTAAAAGAAGTTTTGTATATCGTGCAAAAAATTTTTATTAAGAAATATCAGTGCAGAGCGCTTTCGGCCTTAGGCCATCATCAGTGCTAACCTGAGAAGCAAGGAAAATCCAACATCAGCAAATGAAAATGGGGAATGTAACCCTTGAAATTATAAAACTTAGTTTTTACACACTTCGTCAGGTGTATATAAAAGAACTTGGTTTGAAAACAACGGTGCACATGATTACATAAGGTCACAAACTAATCGATAACATGGATTATCTAAGCAATTTAAAATTTATTAAAAACCGAACTAAAATATTCGGGGGCTTGAACTTTTTTATAACTTTCTCAAGGAGGAATCCATCCTTTCAATTTTCCTTTTTTTCTTTGGAAATTAATAAAATCAAACTCAAAAGCAAACGTGTCTTGATGTTAGGTTAGAGTTCTTTGGTTTAAAACAGGTGTGACAATTGACAGTCTGTCCAAGAATACAAAGCGTGGGCAATTTGAAAATTTGAAAATATTAGACCCAAACAAGGAGAGATGAAGCAATTTGTCTTTGATGCTAAGGAGCTGGACTACTCAGTGGAGTGTCCCATAATATCATCATGAAGTGACGTTTAGTTTAAAAGGCGTCTATGCTGAGGGATGTAGTTTCTGTTTAGATTGACTTGTGTATTTAGGCAACGGTTGTTGTCTGCTAACTCTTTTTGTATCTCGATGTCCTCCATAAAGTCAAGACGATTGAAGTTTTTTGAATTTATATTATGAATAATCTTCGAATTAGACCGGGGGTCCCATTTTCATTTCACTTTCAGGCTTTCCCCAAACTGGCTGAGAAACGAGGGAGAAGTCACTCTATGTCACTCCCCGGCGAGTACTGGTTTTCACCCGTTTCAAGAATAGCCGCACTGACCGAATGTTATAAGTGCGCTTGATGTCAATACCTTCTCAAGGTTAACCAAAGGGAAAACCACGGTAAAGATCAGTGATTCGCTTTAAATCAGTTCAAGTTACCCATTACCAGACAACCTATTAACTCCTAAGCTGAGAGGACCCTGAATCCTAAAAGAACATGTTAAGATTGTCAGTTCCAAAATTGGAAGAATTATTAGAACTAGTTACACCTATTATAAGAAAAAAAGATATTCATTTGAGACCAGCTATTCCGTGCAGAACCAAACTTGAGATAACTCATCAGTATCTTGCAACTGGGGACAGCTTCAAATCTCTTATGTAGGTACATTTAATTCTTCAACCAGGTCTCTGAGTGCTCTGCCCCTAGCATCTCTTTTAATATATTCTGGAGATGAGGCATCCCACAAACAAATATATTTCTGGTTTTTGGAACTGAATTATTTAGTTTTATGTCCATCTGAGTTCTGCAATTTTTGGTGAAACACTGACTCTTTGTGACTTAAAAATGCCAATAAATAGCAACTATTTACCAACAGTGCGTGCGCGAGGGTTCATATTAACCCTCCGTTACCCGCGCCAAGTTTCCTTACACGATTACTCGCGCGGCGTCTGTGAAACGCCAGTAAACTAATGCGTTATTAAGTACTTTTACTATATCTATATTGATAGAAAATGATAATAATGAAGGCCAAAAACATTTATTTGGAATGAGATATAAAAAATCCATGAAGATATGAAATAAAAAAATAATTCTAAAAAACGGCATTCAACTTATATAAACATATTTAACTGTTAGTTAGGTGAGTAATTCTCAGAAATAAAATATAAAAAAATATAAAAAGTACAAACTTAATCAGTATCCGAGTTGCAGAAGTCACATATGTAATTCGCATGCTCCATACAAATATAATTTTCACATTTGATACACGTATATTTTGTCATACGATTTTTCTTTCGGCCACAAATGTAACATCTTCTCCTGGTACCTGAAGTCTCTATTTTGACTTTTTTACTTGAGCCTTCACCATCATCACCGTTTGATGCGGAAACTATTTCTCTAGTTCTCTTCTGTAGCTCTTTAGGCAAACATGAAACCTTAGATCTGTTTTTTATATCTACTGTCAGTTCCAACGCTAATTTTTTTATGAATTTCCTTCTGTCTGCTATCACAGGATTTCTATTACCTTTGTAAATTACATATGCATTGATGGCTGCTATGTTTAGTAGTGCATAAAAAAGTGCCATGGGCCAACGGTTAGTGTTTCGGGATACCGAATATATAGCACAAAGTTTATCAACAACGTCGACACCAAATTTTGTTCCATTGTAAAAAGTTACGATATCTGGCTTTTTCTTCTCGCCCGTTTCTGGATCTATGACAGCATCGTGGTGCATGCTAGAGAATAGGAGGACGTTCTTTCC